TACAGACTCTGTCACTGACTCTTGGTGTGACCTTAGGCAATTCACTCTGGAAAATGGATACAATAATACCAGTATAATAATAATCATTAATACTTACCTACTTTGCTCTGTGTTGTCTTATTTAGGGCCAATTAATTAGGGACACATTTTGTTCTTGCATTCATCAATGTGAATTCAGTATAATTCCATTGAAATCAGTAGAGCTACTCTGGATTTAGACTTATGTAATTTACAAGAGAAACAAAGTAGGTGATAAGAAAAGGAGTACTTGTGGAACCTTAGAAACTAACAAATTTATTTGAGCATAAGCTTTCGTGAGCTACATCCGATGAAGTGAGCTGTAGCTCATGAAAGCTTATGCTCAAATAAATTTGTTAGTCTCTAAGGTGCCACAAGTACTCCTTTTCTTTTTGTGGATACAGAATAACACGGCTGCTACTCTAAAAGTAGATAATGTAATATCTTTTACTGGACCAACTTATAAAAGATATTACCTCACCTACCTTGTTTCTCTTATATCCTGGGACCAACATAGCTACAATAACACTGCAAATAAATTACAAGAGAACTTGGCTCTTAATGTTTATAAAGTTCTTTCAGCTACTGAATTGGAAAATCCTCTAGAAATACAAAATATTAATAAACATCCTATTTCCAATCATTCCCTAAATGACATGCAATATTGCTATAAACCTTTATAATATACACTTACATTATACAATATATTATATTATATACTATATACTATATACTTACTCCTTATTTACGTGATAACATTTAAGGTAATGGGAATTTATTAGAAATTGGTAACTGGCATACAAGAGCGGGTGGACAAATAGGTAGCATGAAGTCATTCATTTTCTCTAGTCCATAATTCCAGGAGAGGCCATTCACTGGTTGTAAATTTATGGTTTGTAAATTGATAATACTAAATATAGATATATAGGTTTAAGGATATTTTAAAATGTACTGGAATTAATTCTGATCTGTTCTGGGCACTTCAAAGAATTAATGGTCATATATTAAATTATTAGGCATTTTTTATCCATCTTCCACCATTCAAATCAGCTGATAAACACAGAAACATGAATTGTGTGGTGGTCATCACAAGTACCCTGATTCATTATCTAAAGGAACCAAAAGGTGTCTGCTTCTAAAGTCAGATATGTATAAAGTGAATAAACCACAAACTGGCAGACGGTACATTAGGGACTGATTCTCCTCTATGTAATCATTTACTGCTTTAAACCTATGCTTTGCCAATGTCACTGGCTTAACTAAATCAGTTTAAAGTGGCACCTTCATTTAAACAGCTAAGACTCTGCATGGTGATTAGAAAAGGAGTACTTGTGGCACCTTAGAGACTAACCAATTTATTTGAGCATGAGCTTTCGTGAGCTACAGCTCACTTCATCAGATGTTTACCGTGGAAACTGCAGCAGACTTTATATACACACAGAGAATATGAAACAATACCTCCTCCCACCCCACTGTCCTGCTGGTAATAGCTTATCTAAAGTGATCAACAGGTGGGCCATTTCCAGCACAAATCCAGGTTTTCTCACCCTCCACCCCCCACACAAATTCACTCTCCTGCTGGTGCTAGCCCATCCAAAGTGACAACTCTTTACATAATCAAGTAGGCCTATTTCCTGCATAGATCAAGGTTTTCTCACATCCCCCCCACCCCCATACACACACAAACTCACTCTCCTGCTGGTAATAGCTCATCTAAACTGACCACTCTCCAAGTTTAAATCCAAGTTAAACTGGAACATCTGGGGGGGGGGGGGGGGGTAGGAAAAAACAAGAAGAAACAGGCTACCTTGCATAATGACTTAGCCACTCCCAGTCTCTATTTAAGCCTAAATTAATAGTATCCAATTTGCAAATGAATTCCAATTCAGCAGTTTCTCGCTGGAGTCTGGATTTGAAGTTTTTTTGTTTTAAGATAGCGACCTTCATGTCTGTGATTGCGTGACCAGAGAGATTGAAGTGTTCTCCGACTGGTTTATGAATGTTATAATTCTTGACATCTGATTTGTGTCCATTTATTCTTTTACGTAGAGACTGTCCAGTTTGACCAATGTACATGGCAGAGGGGCATTGCTGGCACATGATGGCATATATCACATTGGTGGATGTGCAGGTGAACGAGCCTCTGATAGTGTGGCTGATGTTATTAGGCCCTGTGATGGTGTCCCCTGAATAGATATGTGGGCACAATTGGCAACGGGCTTTGTTGCAAGGATAAGTTCCTGGGTTAGTGGTTCTGTTGTGTGGTATGTGGTTGTTGGTGAGTATTTGCTTCAGGTTGCGGGGCTGTCTGTAGGCAAGGACTGGCCTGTCTCCCAAGACTTGTGAGAGTGTTGGGTCATCCTTTAGGATAGGTTGTAGATCCTTAATAATGCGTTGGAGGGGTTTTAGTTGGGGGCTGAAGGTGACCGCTAGTGGCGTTCTGTTGTTTTCTTTGTTAGGCCTGTCCTGTAGTAGGTAACTTCTGGGAACTCTTCTGGCTCTATCAATCTGTTTCTTTACTTCTGCAGGTGGGTATTGTAGTTGTAAGAAAGCTTGACAGAGATCTTGTAGGTGTTTGTCTCTGTCTGAGGGGTTGGAGCAAATGCGGTTGTATCGCAGAGCTTGGCTGTAGACGATGGATCGTGTGGTGTGGTCAGGGTGAAAGCTGGAGGCATGCAGGTAGGAATAGCGGTCAGTAGGTTTCCGGTATAGGGTGGTGTTTATGTGGCCATTGTTTATTAGCACTGTAGTGTCCAGGAAGTGGATCTCTTGTGTGGACTGGACCAGGCTGAGGTTGGTGGTGGGATGGAAATTGTTGAAATCGTGGTGGAATTCCTCAAGGGCTTCTTTTCCATGGGTCCAGATGATGAAGATGTCATCAATATAGCGTAAGTAGAGTAGGGGCTTTAGGGGACGAGACGTTATCCCCGATAACGTCACGGCTAACCTGGTGGCTGAACTTTGTGACTTTGTCCTTACCCATAACTATTTCACATTTGGGGACAATGTATACCTTCAGATCAGCGGCACTGCTATGGGTACCCGCATGGCCCCACAGTATGCCAACATTTTTATGGCTGATTTAGAACAACGCTTCCTCAGCTCTCGTCCCCTAAAGCCCCTACTCTACTTGCGCTATATTGATGACATCTTCATCATCTGGACCCATGGAAAAGAAGCCCTTGAGGAATTCCACCACGATTTCAACAATTTCCATCCCACCACCAACCTCAGCCTGGTCCAGTCCACACAAGAGATCCACTTCCTGGACACTACAGTGCTAATAAACAATGGCCACATAAACACCACCCTATACCGGAAACCTACTGACCGCTATTCCTACCTGCATGCCTCCAGCTTTCACCCTGACCACACCACACGATCCATCGTCTACAGCCAAGCTCTGCGATACAACCGCATTTGCTCCAACCCCTCAGACAGAGACAAACACCTACAAGATCTCTGTCAAGCTTTCTTACAACTACAATACCCACCTGCAGAAGTAAAGAAACAGATTGATAGAGCCAGAAGAGTTCCCAGAAGTTACCTACTACAGGACAGGCCTAACAAAGAAAACAACAGAACGCCACTAGCGGTCACCTTCAGCCCCCAACTAAAACCCCTCCAACGCATTATTAAGGATCTACAACCTATCCTAAAGGATGACCCAACACTCTCACAAGTCTTGGGAGACAGGCCAGTCCTTGCCTACAGACAGCCCCGCAACCTGAAGCAAATACTCACCAACAACCACATACCACACAACAGAACCACTAACCCAGGAACTTATCCTTGCAACAAAGCCCGTTGCCAATTGTGCCCACATATCTATTCAGGGGACACCATCACAGGGCCTAATAACATCAGCCACACTATCAGAGGCTCGTTCACCTGCACATCCACCAATGTGATATATGCCATCATGTGCCAGCAATGCCCCTCTGCCATGTACATTGGTCAAACTGGACAGTCTCTACGTAAAAGAATAAATGGACACAAATCAGATGTCAAGAATTATAACATTCATAAACCAGTCGGAGAACACTTCAATCTCTCTGGTCACGCAATCACAGACATGAAGGTCGCTATCTTAAAACAAAAAAACTTCAAATCCAGACTCCAGCGAGAAACTGCTGAATTGGAATTCATTTGCAAATTGGATACTATTAATTTAGGCTTAAATAGAGACTGGGAGTGGCTAAGTCATTATGCAAGGTAGCCTGTTTCTTCTTGTTTTTTCCTACCCCCCCCCAGATGTTCCAGTTTAACTTGGATTTAAACTTGGAGAGTGGTCAGTTTAGATGAGCTATTACCAGCAGGAGAGTGAGTTTGTGTGTGTATGGGGGTGGGGGGGATGTGAGAAAACCTTGATCTATGCAGGAAATAGCCCTACTTGATTATGTAAAGAGTTGTCACTTTGGATGGGCTAGCACCAGCAGGAGAGTGAATTTGTGTGGGGGGTGGAGGGTGAGAAAACCTGGATTTGTGCTGGAAATGGCCCACCTGTTGATCACTTTAGATAAGCTATTACCAGCAGGACAGTGGGGTGGGAGGAGGTATTGTTTCATATTCTCTGTGTGTATATAAAGTCTGCTGCAGTTTCCACGGTAAACATCTGATGAAGTGAGCTGTAGCTCACGAAAGCTCATGCTCAAATAAATTGGTTAGTCTCTAAGGTGCCACAAGTACTCCTTTTCTTTTTGCGAATACAGACTAACACGGCTGTTCCTCTGAAACCTGCATGGTGATTGTCCTGCTTATCAGTCTATCCTAAAAATATTCTGGGCCTGATTATCGACGGATTTACAGCAGTTTAACATCAGCATAGCTCTATTAACTGTAGTGTATTGTAGTTACTCCTGATTTACACCTACAAGAGTGAATGGATAATGAAGACCATTGTGCTCATTTCAAATTCATATTTATTTTATGGAGTTTTAAAAAAATCATTTCAGGGAAAACACTTTACTAAGGTAATTTTGACTCATTTATGAGCATAAAATGAACAAGAGGCCAAACAATTACAAAGTTAGTGATAGAAAACACCAATTAATGGCTCTTTAACTATTGTGAATAGACTATAGACAACTCCAGGAATGAAATTTAAACAGACTTTTCCATTGTTTAGAGTCATTGGTTTCCCTCACATCGGTTTTTTCCCCTGGCACTCATCATAATTAATTGGGTGTGCCATTTATCATGGAGTAATTAAGTGGCTTCTACTGTATTTGTCATTGCGAGCAAAGGAAAAGAGCTCATTTCAGCTTAAATTTTTATCATGGGCAAGCAATTTAAAACAAATAGCTTCACAATTTCCAGAAAAAAGACATGTTAACTCCCAGCAACAAGCCCTGCCCATAGAAGAGGGGTGACAGCTCATTCCGATGGTCTGCATCTGAGTTATTTGCATTGTAAACTCATTTTTACAGTGTCACAACTTTCTGCAGCAGCAGGATTCACTCTGATGGTGCTGCTGTGGGAATTTTTCCCTGAATGCTCTGGTGTCTCGTTGTGGCAAAGTTACAGGAGGAGATAATAATCACTACAAGAGAAATCTGTACAGGTGGCCCAGACCCAGGCCTTGCAGCCATATCGCTTAAAGTCGTGGCAGGCTAGTGGTAACTGCTGTTACTTCTGATACTCCTTTTGTAGTCATGACAAGGCAGTGTTGTTTCTAAGGGCTTGTCTACACTAGAAAGTTTTACCCACAAAAGTTCTGCCGGCATATTGCTGTCAACATGGCTATTTCACATTTGGCTGCCTTTGACTGTGCAGTGTGTACGTTCTCATAGCATCAGGTTGGATCAGCAAAAGATGTTTGACACTGTGAGTAGGCATCCCAGTGTCCCCGCTACACCATCCGGTGCACTACCTTTTGGGAAATTTTTGCGGTGTATTGTGGGATAGTGTCACTTCTCTCAGGAAACTGCGGTAGACTGGAGTCAAAATTCCCACAATTCTCTCTGCTTGCACTGTTTTTAAAAAATTCCCACAATTCCTTCCCATAATCCACTCTTTTTTTTTTTCTATTTTCTGCCAAAGCTAGGGATGCTGCCCAGATTAGAGGAGCTCTCTTGTCTATTTTAAGGCTCCGCCAAATGATTTTTCTTTTCAGAACCACAGCACCTACGACAGCAGCCATTCAGGCAGCTGGACTACTGAGGAGGAGTGGATGATAAAGACAGTGAATGAAACTGACCGGCTGCGGGTGGTGGAACAATGGTTTTGGGCCCATGAAACAAGCACTGAGTGGTAGGGCTGGATCGTGATGGAAACCTGGGGTGACCAGTAGTAGCTGCAGAATTTTCGGATGGGGGAGACTATATTCTTAGAGACGTTTGCTGAGCTCTGCAGAGCAGAGACACCAAAAGGAAAGCTGCTCTGACAGTGGAGAAATGGGTAGCAAGCGCTCTTTGGAAGCTTGCAATACTGGAATGGGCAATCAGTTTGCTATTGGAAAATCTATGGTGGGGCTGTTGTCATCCAGTTGTGCAAGGCCATGAAGCATCTGCTGCACAGGATTTTGACTGTGGGCAACGTGCAGGAAATACAATATGGTTTCAATGCAAAGGGCTTCCCTAATTGTGCACCCTTCCATAACTTGCCTCTGAGTACATATGTTGAAAGGTTTCAGAGTGGTAGCCGTGTTACTCTAGCAGCAAAAACAATAAGGAGTTCTTGTGGCACCTTAGAGATTAACAAATTTATTTGGGTATAAGCTTTCGTGGGCTAAAACCCACTTCATCAGATGCATGGAGTGGAAAATACAGTAGGCAGGTATAAATACACAGCACATGGAAAGATGGGAGTTGCCTTACCAAGTGGGGGGTCAGTGTTAATGAGCCAATTCAAACTAAGTTACACTACTTCAGTTACATAAGTTAGGTAACAGACGTTGACATAACTTAGGTCGACTTACAGCAGTCACCAGACCCACTAAATAGACACCTCTGCATCGATCGCAGCAGTGCCGATTTAGCAGGAAGTGTAGACAAGTCCTCAGTATAAAGATGACCTATACTGGAATGCTAGTCCTCTTCCGGAATGAGAATAGCTATACTGGTATAAAATGCCTTTGCACTGATAGAACTGCCTCCAAACAAGGGGGCGTGTATGGCTTTAATTATACTGGTATAGTTAAAGTGGCAAAAAATTCTAGTATAGACAAGGCCTCAGTCACAGTATCTTCAGTTCTCCTGTACGGTACAATTTATTTAGGGCTAGATTGGGTATCCTTTACGCACCTTGGACTACTTGAGAGTGTAAGTGTTCTCCATGGTGAGTAATGGCTGCATGATCTAGTCCTTTAATAATTAACTCATGATTTTAAAAAGACTTTTTTTCCTCCATTACATTCATATACTATATGTGCCACCTGCGTTTCCTTCTTTGTGTGTGTTCAGTTCTATTTATTAGCAATTTACTCCTGCAATAGATTGAAGGTTTCACCTTTACAGTCAGATTTTATGGATTTTTCGTCAACTGGGTTTTGAATGTGTGAGGCAAGAGGTGATTGAACCAACCAGAATGTGACTTAAGAACATTCATTTGAATACAGGACACTTTAAAATCAAATAAACATTTTGCTGTAATATCTTTGCAGCTACCTTCTATCAGCATAACATAGTGCCTGGTCTTTGTTTTAGCTGGTGGTACTTGAGGTTTGCTATTTACTGTGCAAATTTGATTGTGATTTTTATCTATGCAGTTTTATCTTCTGCTGACAAAAGTTATCTTTATTTTCAGTTAAAGATGAATAAAGCAAACAGAGAGTACTGAAGTCATTTTTTATTACTCTAACTTATGTAGATATTATCAGTCATGTCCTCATTAACCATATATTATTGGTGTCATCTGCAGTCACTGTTATATGTTTAGTTGGAATATAAATCATCATTTTTATATGGCCTTAAATGTAATTAGTATTATTGGACGTAAATTTAATATTGTTTAGAACATTTGGGCAACAGCCAGCAGTAAGAATTGATTGCACCTGGCTAATTACATCTTTTCTCTATGAAGCAGAATGGAGATAAGCAGAAGGGTAACTATGGGGCTGTGTTAGCTAACGAATCAGTTATCAGTTGGTTACTGATTAGACATTGAAGCAATGATCCTCCTGCACCAACTTCACTGCGCTGGGCATTGTGTGTGGATGCCAGACTCTTGCCTACCAAACAAGTCCTCTACTCTGAGCTCACCCATGGTCAGAGATCCCGTGGTGGTCAGAGGCCACAAAGTGCCTTCCCCTCAAAGCTGAAAAGAGAGGAGGAAGGAAAAAGAAATAATTTTCTCCCAACAAGCCGCTGGTCTGCCACAAAATGTCTGTACCTACTGCAGGCAGATTTGCGGTTCCAGGATCGGGCTCCTGAGTCATCTCAGGACCCATATGTAAATCCATGGTAGAGGTCATCCTCGAATCGAGGGATCAACAATCACTGATTAGACAAAATCATTGATGGACATAAGTAATGGATGAAATCCTGGGTGTTTCGCCATTTACTTCAATGGGGGCAAGGATTTTATCCAGTAAGTTAGAATAGAAACTCAGACTTCATATAGTGGACTGAGCATGGTAATAGAATCCAGAAGCTCCCAAATTCTAATCTGGGCTCTAACACTTACTTCCTATATATGGCTTCAAACAAGTCATCTAAACTTGTCATTGGACAATTCATTGGAAGGATTTCCGCAAATCAGTGGGAGTAGTTTCAGTGTGTGACACTGGCAGGCCAGCTGCCATCTCAGTATTGAGGTCCCCATGTCTCAAATGAACACTGACAACTACATAGCTGGAATTAATCTAGCTCACTTGTGTGTTCATAGTGTTAAATAGATATTAGAATTAGAAGAATGTGTTTACTGTTTAAACTCTACTGAATGTTTGTGAGTATCTGCATGCATTAATCCCACTTACATAACACCTATATCCCTTATTGCAAGATAATATATGAGCGGTTGTATAGTTAACCTCTCTGACTGTGTAAATCACCAGACAGGAGAGAGACATAGAATCATAGACTATAAGGTCAGAGGGGATCATTATGATCGTTTAGTCTGACCTCCTGCACAACACAGGCCACAGAATCTCACCCACCAACTCCAGTAACAAACCCTTAACTTAGGTCTGAGCTATGAAGATATTAGTGTGAAGGGCCAATTTTTAACAGAAAGTTTTATGCCTTTCCGAAAAGGAAATGTCCTTCAATACCAGCTGGACTACTGTGGGAATGTTACAACTGGAATATCCTAAATACTGTCAACAGGAGGACAAAAGCCTTTTTTTATTTTGCCCTCCTTCCTGTGAAGGTGAGTCATGCATGTGGACTCTTCCTATCACCTGAGCTTGCAGCTCAGAGCACATGGCAGGAGCGGAATAAAACCCCTAACAAGAAGGAACTGATTATCTCTGCTGATTGGACTTGAGGGCAAAATGTTTCTAGGCATAAGAAAGAGATCCCCAGCTGCTTAACCTGGGTTAGTCCCCTAAAGGACATATAGAGCTTGCTTATTATACAAGATTCTGTTACCTTTTGAAACATAAAACTGTAAATCATGTGTGTGTGTGTAACCTGCTTTAATCTTATAAATAACTAACTTTTTTTTTAGTGTTGTCTTTGGTATAGAATCTAAGGTGCAAATTGACCTGGGGTAAGTGACTGATCCTTTGGGACTGGTAGTAACCTGAATATTGCTGTGTCTCTTGGTGTAATGGACCACCTATCACAAACGTGCACTCACCTGCGTGGTTCGGTAGAGCAGAGTACCCACGGGGACTGTCTGTGACTCCATGTTGAGACTGTTATAATGCCTGAGGCATTTCCACTTGGTAATTCATTTGGTGAACTCTAAGTATAGAACTCACAACCAATTTGGGATTTGTGCCCTGGTTCCTAGCAGTCTGCCTTGAGGCAGGTATTCATGGTTTTGAGTCACTGGAGGTAGTACTGCACACGGCCTTAACCTCTCTGAGTTAAATACATATATCAAATACATATATGTTGATTAAGACTTCCCTTCTTTTGAAGTTAAAACCCATATACATAATTACAATTGCCTTTCAAATATATACTATAGTTATGTTACATCTCCATCAATAATTCATCTTTTCAGTCACATACTGCAGTGATGAGTATCCATGAGTAATATCAATAATGTACCAAATTTTCTTTATTTCAAAATGTTGTTTCCCTGTTCAAATACTTTGGCATACATTTCTAATAACTGGCCTTTTGTACTACTAAAAGTTAAAGAAAAAGTTAGAATTGGAGGGGAAAGTGGTGATGTTCTCCCAAGCTCTGCCCACAAACCAATTTGGCTCACTCATGACATCAAAATGTGACACCAATTCATGGTATACTGTGCAGATCTTAATAATATGATCATCCTTCTTCTTTCATGCATGCAACAGTGAAAGAGTTAATGGTGACATTTAGAGCATCACAAGCTTCTGGGGTTAACCCACTGAGATGAATAAGGAGAATGCCCACCTCTCAGAGATATTATTTCAGTCTGTTGCAGCCACCATTGGATCAGTTTACGTTCTGTTCATATTGTGAAGGCTGTCATCACTGCCCTTTAAAGCAATTGTTTAAAAAAAATTAAACTAAGATCCTAGCAAACGTTTGCTTCTAGGAAAAGGGACTGGCTTGCTGAGCTGCTAAAAACCTGTCCACTTCAACAGCTACTTCATAGGACTTTATCAGCATGCAAATGGAGATGTCATTTGAAAGCAGCCTAGTTCACCTGTGTGATGGAAGCATAGTATATAGGTGTGAAAATCAGGAGAGTTATGCAAATATAAACATTATATATTATATTCAAAGAGAAATGGTCAATCAAAAGTGACTAATGATTTTGGGTGCCTCCATTTTTGGATGCCCAGCTTGAGAAATCTTCTCCTCCTTCCCTCTTTGGAAAAGCAAGAGAATTCTTCAGGGGACTGCAGGGATCATAACTCTGGCCACCTCCTGCACAGGGGGGACAAAAGAAGGCATTTCTGCCTGCCTTCCCCCATCACATTGGTGCAAGGGACAAATATAATCTGACTCGGAGTTTCTTTAGAATAATAGGAGTTTTCACAATTCTTGTGAAGTGTAAATTAATTTTCCTTTTCCCTTGGCATTTTTGCTTATTCTAAATTATCTCTACTGTATAATTAAAAGAGAAACTTCAAATATAACATTAGCAAACACTTCTCCCTGTTCTTCACCTTCTTAAAGGCTATTAATTACATCTGTATACTGTGAATCCATTGAGGAGTTTCTGCACTGGCATATTAATGATGAAGCTCTCTGAAGAGTGTTCCCTAGACCTTTAGCAGTTCCAAATGCCTGTTAATGAAAAAAGCTTTGTGGATGGCATCCTGCTTGAATGAACAAAGGTAACAATGGAGACTGGGAAATTAATTATTAAGGCGGATGCTACAAAAACATAGGTCAATAATGTTCAATATGTGGTTGGAAGGGAATTGAAAAAAACATAGGCTTTGACTTAGAAGGAGAGGGAGTCTCACTAGCATGTGCTGTAATTCACATATAAGATAAACTATTTTTGGGTGTGGAGTTTAGACTGATATTATAGTCCCTCTGGGGGACATGTCACACTGCAAAGTAGTTCTGACATTCTGAAAAAGAGACTAGCCAAGTCGAAATGGAGGCTGTCAGGTAACTTTCATTGCTCTTAATTTCTTTTCTGTGTTCCTAAACCTTAGTGCTGCATGAGGCCCCAATTCATGAAAGCGCTTAAACAGCTGTGTAAATCCACTCCTCTTCAGAAAAGCAGATAAGCATGTATTTAACTTTAATTCCCATTCCACTGGGAATTTAGCATGCGCTTAAAGTTAAACACACATATAAGGGCTTTCCTGAATCAGGTCATGAGGTTGTTTTTCATAGTGTCCATTCTCATGCATTTATTATAGTAGTGCCTAGAGATGCCCCAAATGCTGAGCACTACATACACATAGGCCAGGTCTACACTACAAGCTAGGGATGTGATTCCCCTTCTCGTGTACACATACTTGACTAGCTCTCATCAAGCTAGCATGAGTATAAATAGCAGCATAGCCACAGTAGCTCGGGTTGTGGCAGCAGAAACATGGCTGAGGTGTGCCAAATACAAACCCACCTGAAAATTGGTGGATATGTATTCAGGAATCATACCCCTAGCTCACAGTGTAGACACAGTCATAATAAGAGACACTCCCTGCCCCACAGAGTTTACACGCTAAATAGATAAGACAGATACGGGTGGGAAATATCACTACTCCCACTTTAGAGATGAGATTAAGATCCCAGTTCTAGGGACTACAATCATTTAACATCTAACTGGTAATGCTCTGAACCAAGTCGTCGGCTTGCTCAATAAGTGAGTTTGATATCCCCTCATCACTACATTTAAGTCTACTACATACAATATGTCCACTTGTAACTGTCAGGAAAAAATAGCCCTTCACAGATTTTAGGTTTATTGAATATTCTCATTATTTGTGGTCCTAAAAGAAAATCCTTTTTTTGGTTGGTTTATTTAATGTGGAAGTTATTGCATTCTCAACAAGGCACGTCTATTCTTCTTGATTTTAAAAAATACTTAAAAAAAATTGAAAATTATTTTTTTCCCCATAAAATTGTTGCAACTGAAAAATGAACTGTGTATCTTCCGGAGAGTGAAATAACTCAGGAATTCAGGGAGGTTGAGGTTCCTTCTCCAAAGATTCTACCTGTTGTTTCCTACTGGTGTGCCATAACCCAACCCCTGTATCTGGATTACCATTCATGAAACCCAGCAGAACTTCAGTCCAACTTAAAACTCCTGATTGTGGCCTGGACAGACATAGCACAGGGAAGGTTATCCTCGCTCTATTTCACACCTAGTTCTAATTAGGAAACACTTGAAATCTCACTCACAAAAAAAGCTTCTTTTCAATATGCTGAATCCAGACGCTCTTCTACAATTAAGCCATTAATTACCCTGGTATGGCATATGTCACATTTTAACCTAGTTCCCTCATGAATTAGGCCATTTATTCTTCACCTCCTAGTACTTTTTAATAACAAATGTTTTCAGAAATACAAGCATACCTTTAGTATTAAAACTCTAGTAGGGTCAAATACTCTTACTCCCATGAATAGTACCATACTCTCCAAGTATTCCCATTTACTTCAGTTGTTTACTCCTGATGTAAGGCACTAAGCAACACATGGGAGGATATCACAATCTGGCCTTTATCACGTTTCCCTTTATTTTATAAAATTGTATGGGTCCCTTTCAAGCATTACCAGATGGAAACTGAATGAGAATTTCTCAAATAGAATTTGGGAAAATGTGACTTTGTTCAATATGTTTCTTAAAAAGAACTGACTCTTTCACTAGTAGCTCATCCTACTGTAAATGTTCCTAATTCAGAAACACAGATTTCTTCTTTCCACATTTCTCCTTTCTAGTGAGTCTTTTCTGAAAATTAATGCTGAGATCAAATGAAGGGTTTTTTTTCCTCTAAAATAATTTTAATCTATGCTGGAAGATTTAATGTACTAAACTTAATATGCAGAAATAATGTATAAAGAAGAAAAGGCTTTTCCAAATTTTCCTAAAGGTTGTTTTCAGTTTGCAATAATTAATGTGATAAGACATGTTTGAAAATGCATTAAAAGATCAGGAAGATTCCTCTGCAGGTACTTTAGAATCTAATAAATAATAAATCTGATGATTAACTGCATGGGCATAAGGAAAGCACATTACTAGGAAACTGAATAGAACCTGGCCTTTGAACAAATGTGTACTATTTTTTTAATATATAAAAGTACTTGAATATAGTCAATTCTGTGAAAAGAGGAAAAAAAAGAATTACAGAAAGTGATATTGAGTTAACACTGTATTTCCAAATTAAAGAGATTTAAATATTGCCATTAGCAATCAGGGTATTAGGATTTTGATGGAACAGTGTCATAAGAAGGTGAGCAAAACAATTATCTGGCTTAACGCTGTTTGAGCAGCCACACTGGTTTATGCTGGCCTAGAGAGCTGAAGTAAGACCACCACCAAGGCTTCTCATTGTGCCGTGTAGGCTGCCCTCTTTCTTCTCTTGGTTCAGACTGTGCATGTTGGGCATGAGGATCAAAATATTCCAGTGGGTCGTATCGCTCATATATGTCTTCCACTGGCCCCCAGAGGAAATTTTTAGGCCTTGTATCTAGAGATCGAAGGGCAAAATCTACCCTCCCCGCTCTTTTCATCTTGGCAGGCAGAGTGACCCTTTTCATCACCTTGCTGTATCCGATAGCATGAGCACTGATTATGTATCTTCCCGGAGGTAGGAGTCTCCAGTAGTCTCCATCAGCAGCTAAAGAAAACAGGTATCTCAGTCCTTTGTTCAGTAGCATAAATGCGTACACACATCTATACACAGATAAGCATTGGACATTATAAGGGCAGATTTTGAAAAAGAGCTCAGCACACTGGGTGTTCCCCTCTTTTAAAAATCAGGTTGCAGGTGTCACAGTGGGAGCTGCTGAGAGTTGAGCACTTTTGAAAATCTGGCCCGTAGTAAATAATTATATTTCTGAACTTGTAAATTGTATTAATATCAGGATAGATGCAGTGTATGTATTACACAGAAGTACACCATGGCAAACAAAAATGGTGCCTGATTCTGTTTTTACTTGCAATGGTATGAATAAGAAGTAGCTCCAGTGAAGTCAATGGATTTATACCTGTCTGTAGCTGATGTAAGTGAAAGAAGAATCAACCCCAATATAGAGGTATATTGTATGTCCGAGGGCATAAGAAATTCCTATTTGTAATATATAATACACATGAGACATGGGGCCAGATCATCAGCTGGTGTAAATAGTTTGTCTCTGATGCTGAGGTGAAAATGTCCAATTAAATGACTACCTTGAAATCCTACATGTTGGTGGCTCATTGACTTCAGTGGAACTATAGCAGTTTCCTCCAGCTGAGGATCAGGCCTGTATTTTAACGCATATGCAGAAGGAGGCAGTGCAAACAATGAGCATTTATGCATAACTTTATGTTTGCTGGATTTTTAAAGTTTATCAGCACAGCAAACATTGTATTAATGCTATTTTTCATAGAATTTCAATGTCTATCTGTTGGGTTTTTTTTAAGATGAAAATAAAGGAAGAAGAGGGGAAAAAGAAAGGAAAAAATCAGAGGTATTCAGCTCCTGGCAATCATAATTTCCTTCATTCATAGGTCCTGGAACTAGAGGTGCTGGGGGTGCTGCAGAAGCTCCTGGCTTGATGTAGTTTCCATTATTTACAGAGTTATTATTGTCTGGTTCAATGGCTTTCAGCACCCACAATCTACAAATTGTTCCAGCACCCCTGCCATCATTTTGAATATTTTGGCTTTGCAACTGTTGGGCATAGTCTATCTTAGCTAAAGCCTGGTCACCATGAAATTTCTGAACTACAAACTCTTGTCCATTCTGAAATGAAACTTAACACTCCTTTTTCCTTCACAAGGGCACAATATTTTTGGTTAATTCTTTACGGGCCTTATTCATAGCCCATTGATGTTAATGGGAAGTCATTGTCTACAATGAGGTTTGGAACAGGCCCTAAATCAAGCCCCAATTTCAGCTTCAAAAATTTGCACCATCTCCCAGTTTTGTATCCACTCTAATTTTATAGGTTTCAGAGGAACAGCCGTGTTAGTCTCTAAGGTGCCACAAGTACTCCTTTTCTAATTTTATAGGTTTACTCAAAGTACTGTCGTGCAATATCCACTACATTTATAAGCCACTCTGGCTTTCCACACTAACATAACAGCCACTACGAGAGCAAAATTTTACCACACATGTGACATAATGTACTACTGGGGTCTAATCCTATTCCCATTGAAATCAATAGCAAAATTCCCATTGATTTCAGTGGGAGCAAGACTGAGCCCTAAATGCTCAGAGCTTTACAACTGCTGAAAATTAACAGTTATGTATGTTATTGATTGGTTAATGCAATGTACATAGTATGTAACTCAGTATTCCACTCTTTTTGCCTCTGATTGACTGTATGTAGATCATTCATATATATTTATAACATACTATTCACCTGTGCACAGAGACCAAAATATTGCTCTATCTGAAGAAAATTTCAGTTTACTTAGCCTAACAAGAAATTTAACATGAAATTAGAGAGAGTCTTCAAAAAATTCTGGGAAAAATTTTGCACTCAGTTACACTCATGCAATTTCACTGGCACTGATAATAGTGCGGGGGGGGAAGCCGGTAAATTTTGACCTACGTTTTTTCACATAATTCTAGAAGTAAACTCACACAGCCAAATCCTGCAATTCTCTTCAGGCAAAATGTCCATTGAATGTAATAGGACTTTTGGCTTAGTGAGGACTACAGTTTTTCGCTCATAGTGCATACCATCATTATCATATGAGAAAGATCCAACCAAAATAACATTACCTGTGATAACATCATGTCGGATCCCTTTTACTGAAATTCGGGCATTTTTTATTGGGTTACCAAATTTATCAGACACAATTCCCTTTATCCCACGGTGTACCTAACAAAGAAAGGACACGTTACACCAAATGGTAATATTTTTGTGCCTGCTCATCTTTTCCTGCAAGAAAGCCTATAGGAAGAGGAAGTGTAAGAATCTGTAGAGGGTACTGAGTTGCTGCCACCTCAACACCAACACAAAGGCATAGGCTAGGCTCTTGCAGGAGGACCTTGTGAGGCTGGGCTTAGCAGGAAGCACCGCCCAGCAGGACCTGAGTGGCAGCTCCTCACAGCCCACTGATTGGTTGGCACCAGTACTTAAGCCAGGAAGCCATGACAGGAAGCTGTCTGAGCAACAATACAGACTGCCTGCCTGCCTGCCTCTGCTTCAGACCCTGTGTGCAAGAGACCCCAGATTCTGCCTTCTGATTCTGCCTGTCTCCTAGGTCTGACTCTTGGTTTGCCCTCTGGCCTGTCTTGGACTCTGGGCTTCTAGTACCTGACCTGGCCTGACTCCTGCTCTGACCATTAGGTCTGACTGCCCATGTTCTGGTTGTGACAAGAAGCAATCCTCATGAGATTCTCCTCAAAATGAGTCACCCATCCTTCTCATTGAGAAGGGTAGTTTGCCTTCTAGGGCAACAACTTAGAGGCCTGTGCACAATCTCAGATCATTCTCCACACTCATGAATCGCCAACCTACGAGCAACTCTCTCTGAGGTCTGGGGGCAAAGGGAGATGTGGAAGCAAATCATCCCCCTTTGATGATGGTGGAATGTGATCTATGCATGGAGGGTCCCACCTGTATATAGATCATGGGTGCATGACCATATAACCATTATATTCAACTAATATTTTAAAATGTATGACTTAAATTCAACACAGAAAATAAATTTAGAGTTAAAGTTTTGAAAAATGACCTGATACTCCCTATGTAAAGGAAAAACACACTTTCATAAACTATGGAGTAAATGAGGCCAATTTACACAAGGAACTGACCCTCTAATCTACTAACTGCATTTACTACAAGGAAAAATGCAGCATTAAAGGATATATAGAATAACTAAATAACTAACAGTCAAACAGCATGCTGACATCTTGACAGTGCAACCAATTAATGCAGCTCACTGCTATGAATAATATTTGCATAAGAAAATCAGAGGCATTAAAACTTGTTGAAATAATAATAAACAAACAAATATTTTTCAGTTATGTAGTACCTCATATTCAAGATCTCAAAGTGTAAACTGTAAACTGTGAGCTAATTAACTGAACCCATCAGCAATCTTATGAGGCAGGCATGCATTATTACTATGCGAAAATCTCTCCCTGTCAGAAAGAACAGTGATGGAAATACTAGAACAATGACAGACATTAATAAAAAAAGACCCCTGATGTGAATATTTGAGAGAGAAAAAGAGAGAGAGAGAGAGACACTAGAGCAGCAAACTTGGACTTCAGGGTTGTTATTGTGTTGCACAACATGGCCATTCAGAATGTCATGATAATAGTGAGTATAGGACTCTGAGAGCTTGTCTCCACTTACTGTTGATTGACACTGTGGCGACTGATCCATCGGGGGTCAATTTAGTGGGTCTAATGAAGACCCGCTAAATTGACCACAGATTGCTCTCCTGTCGACTCCGTTACTCCATCGGAACAAGAAGAGTAAGGGGAATCGATGGGAGAGCATCTCACGTCAACATAGCGTAGTGTGGACCCCACGATAAGTAGATCTAAGCTACATTGACTTGAGTTACGCTACTAACGTACTCAAATTGCGTAGCTTAGATAGACTTTCCCCCGTAGTGTAGCCCTGCCCTGCACAGGATCCTATTGCTTGAGCTAAAGGGAAATACCCTATCTGCTAGCAAGACAAAGCTGGTGACACACAGCAGACCAGTTTTAATTCCATGCACAAGATGCCAAACATGCCGATACAAAATTGCCAGTTCATAACAATCCGAGCTGGTGAAAAAGTGGGGAGAAAATCATTTTTTTAGAATTTTAGTCATTTTTTTCTTCAGGCTTCACAAATGGACAGGTATTTATTTATTCAAAATTTTTACAAATATTTATTAAAAAATTCAATTTCAAAATTCTTTTTCTGATTTTTTTTCATTTTTTTGGGTTTTCTGTTTTGTAGGTTTCCTCTTTTCTCCTCCTTTTTCTCCTCTTTTCCCTTTCCCCTTCATTGTTTCTTCTTTTCTCTTCTTTTTTCCCCTTTTTTTGCCCCAGGAAAACAGGAAAACAAATAAACAATGAAAAAAAGATTAAATTTTGTTTTCCAATGGAATTAAAAAAATGGAAATTTTAAAAAATTATTAACATATCCAATTTTTTTAAAAGGCCATTTTTTTGGATGAAAAGTTTTGTAATCTAAAAATGTTGACCTGTTCTAATTACAGCACACACTTATTAATGACCAGATTCTGCTGCTCCTACTCATGTTGAGCACTACCTTACTCTTTACATAGTTTAACTTATTTGAATGGGACTACTCAAGGTGTGAGGTACTACTGAACAGAAGGAACCAGAAAGGGACAGAATTATTATAGCAGGTTGGTGCAGTTTTCTTTCCAGTCATCCTGCAGCATGAAAGTATGGAAAATCTTAAATTAGCATGAGGTGTTAAAAATAGTGGGCCTTTCTCTCCACTAATTTGCACCCTCATCATTAACACTCTTGTAAAGTGAATGAAAAACACTTCCAAATCAGGACAGAATTTCACTTTCTGAAGAGCTGTAAATTCTCTATCCAGGGTACAAGGAAGAAGAGAATCTGTCCCATAATTCAGCAATTCTATTTCAACTTTGCTTTGCTGGATTTAGGTCAGAATCTGTTTTAAGTCCCATTTCTGACATCTTTTTCTGACATGACTTCAATAATTACTAGGCAGTGCAGGTAAGAGTGACAGAATTGGGCCCTTAATTACTTTATTGTTATTGGGTTTATTTTGCTGCCATGAATACAGCCCTGATCATGTATCCTTACAGTCAATGGGAGTTTTGTAACTGCTTTCAATAGGAGATGTATTAGCACATAGAAATCTATGTATAACTTTTGCTAGTTAAACTAAGTAGATTTATGCACACACGAAATAATCTGGTAAATATCAGAATGAGAAAAGTTTGAATTGGTTATGGCAGACTTAATCCTTATCAGGAGTAATTCAGTCAATCTTATCTAGAGAGTTTTCGCTTACTGTTCTGCATTTGCTCAAAAGGCTTTTCCAGCATAGACTTCTACAGTATCTCACACTATAAAAATCTTTACATCTTGAAGGCTTCAAGTGCAATATACATGGATTTAATCCAGTCCCATTTGGACTCACTAAAACTCATTTTCATCAGACAGCTGTAAAATGAAATGAGTTTGGTGGTCTGGATTGTAGTCTTTATCGAATGATGATACTTACCACAAGTAGCAAGAGGTTGCTTAAAAAGGCCATAAAAAAAAAGCTAACACACTCCTAACAACTTTAAATTACTACATAGTCTATCAATATAAGGCATGACAGAAAGCTGATCTGCTAATGGCTGAGAGAAAGATGTCTGCCTTGGGTCTCTGTGATCAGTTACCTATTATGAGCGGGGCAATTGTTATTGCCGAGTGAACCCACATAAATTTGGTTCGGTTGCTCCTCCACAAATTCAGGGGCCAGACTTTTATTCTAACAGCTTTTGTCCAGAAACTGAGCTGAAATATTACAGGAACAGGATTTCCAATGAATGTTTCAGTATTTCTTTGTTCCAGCTGGGGCAAAAACAAAACTTAAAAGGTCTCTGTTACAGAATAGTGGAACTTGAGACCAAAACCATGGAATTGGAGAAGAATGTAAAAGTGAAAAATTACCTAAACTTTATGGAAATTTAAACTAAGTTTGGTTTAGTTCTTTGAGAGAGAGGTTGAGTCTTATTTTTCTGAATGAGTTGGTCTGTCTCTAGTATTGGATTTTGAAGAGTTGATTCATAAACCCACCCAAACTATTTGCAGACATTCCTACGGTCCTATTTTGTGTTGTACTTAAGCTCATCTCAACCTTCAACCCAGCCACATGTGAGTTAGGGAAATAATATCCACATTCTTAGACAGCCAAACTGAGGGATAGAGACTGGTGTGGAAATATCTGAAGATCAAATGCTGTCATAAGCATCCTCAATGGGACAAAAAAAATAACAATGGAATCCCACAAAAGAATGGACATGAAAAGCCACAAGTACTAAAGGAATGTAAATAAAAGTAGGGCTCTACCATTTCCATAAAAGTCAGAAGGGCTTCTTTGTTTTCATGCCAGGCTGAATACAGTTCCTCCTCCAAAGGAAACTTGTCACATCCCAGCTCCAAGGTGATTTCAAAACAGTTTGTGTGAAGGTAATTAAAATCTGCCATACCTAAATTAATAGAAAGGGAAAAGGGAAGATTATGAACAATCCATGTCACATGTAATTAGAACTATGCTGCTGCAATTAGTTGATTAACAAATGCAGCCCTGTGGACAAGGATTTATATGTTGTGTAGAATGAATGCATCTACCATATGCAAAGGATTTGGGATCTTTGGAGCTTTACAAGCATTATTTTAAGCATCAGTTAACTAATTAATGCTCACAACACCTCTTTTAGATGGGTAAGTACTATTATTATTAAAACTCATTTACACTTGTGGGAGCTAAGGTAGAGGGATGGGGGTTGTGTATGATCAGCTTTATACCATAAGGTACTGCCCAAGGTCACCGGGAAATCAAGGTCGGAGCTGGGTTTAGAACTCTGGAATCGACTTCCAGGCCTGTGGTCAGAGAATGAGACTTGTTCTTGGACTGGGGAATAATGTCTTTGCTGTCTTATGGTTTCTTCTTCATTTTATTACACCGTCTAGCAAAGGTACCATACCCTGTCAGCAGGTCCTTTGGTGGCAGCAAACCTCTAAGAGAAGCTAACATCATGAGAACCTTGTGCCTCTACATTGAAGGTCGTGGCATTATTATGTACTAAAATGTTAATCATAGACAACAGGTACAATTTTCAAAAGCACCCCATTTTCAAAAGTTATTAATCACTTAGGAGTCTAAGTCACTTTTGAAAATTTTACCCAAATATCAAAAATTGAACAAACCTGAAAAACCAAATACGGCTAATGATAAAATAGCATTGGAAACTTGAACACCAATGAATTGGATGTCAGTTGTGACATTTTTGCTTATCACGACTACTAATAATAATCAATTGTAGTTCAGTCAATATGGATTAAAACACTAGCACACTTCAAATCCATAATGTAAAATATATAAAATTCTGCATTATGGATCTGAAGTCCAAATTCATACTGCTGTTGAGGCATTAACGTTTCATTCCTATCTGCTAGAAAATTTCAGATTTTAACACCAGAACAGCATTTCATAAATACACAATGCCAAATTCATCCCATGCATAACTCCATTGATTTCACCGGAGTTACGTCAGGGATGAATTTGGCCTGCTCTATTTGAATATAGACTTTGCCATTTAAATCCTCTAAAGACATTTTTGTGCACTGGGGGAAGGGTCTGATCCAAAGCCCACTGAACTTAATGAGTCTTTCCATTGAGTCCAGTTGGCCTTGGATCAGGCCCTTACTTGTCTCTCTTAAGGGTCTTACTCGGGTTTTGCTTCACATGACATAATGGCAAAGAGATTTACCTCCAGTAAAGCTGTACCACTGAGCACCATTTATAATTCCTCCTCGTTTTACGAAGTTTCCACCACAACGAGCTTCTGATTTGTCTGAGATGATTGGATGTGCACCTGCATATGCTTTAGCCAGCAATCTGAACATCTGAAATGAATGATTTTGAAATATATTTACTTCTTCTCTGAACTGTAAGCACGTCTTCCATTTATCTTCACATCACTGAGATCCACTCCAGCACTATCTGTGCCTGCTCGCCAGATGGTGTCCTCTAGACTTATGTGCACAGAGGGAACCTCTATACAAAGGTAACCCTCTTAGATAAAATTTACAAAAGTTCCTGAGTCACCTAGGAGTCTAACTTCTGAGACCTAGGCTCCTAAGTCACCTAGGTGCTTTAAAAAATCCATTATCTGCAATGCAATTACAAAGGATTCTAAATAGTGGAGCCACTTTTACCCTTGCATAATGACAGGTTTCAGAGTAACAGCCGTGTTAGTCTGTATTCGCAAAAAGAAAAGGAGTACTTGTGGCTGTAGCTCACGAAAGCTTATGCTCAAATAAATTGGTTAGTCTCTAAGGTGCCACAAGTACTCCTTTACTTTTACCCTAGTCTCTACTCACCTGTGATTTCAGGAATAAATAACAATAGTAACTTGTTTTCACTTTATCAAAGGTGCCAAGTGCTTTGGGGTCTAAACAGTTTTTTCATAATGCCTATAACTTGAGGTAACTAATGCAAGATACAGGCCTCATTATTTCTCCGGGCACAAACAAAAACTGTTTATAACACCTCTAGCTTAGTGTCATTAATACTAGGTTGCTTGTATGCCTCTAACAGAGAATGAAAAGTGTTACAGAGAGACACTTAGCAGTGCATGTGACCAGGTAGAAGATTCTGATGGTAAAGAGTCTGCCTGAGGGAACTCAGCCAATGCTATAGGCCCAGAAAGAGCATATGTGCCATCATGATTAAGAAGTGGAGACAGCAAGTCTAGGAGTACATGTGACTTCTGAGTCAAGAGCCAGTCTGCAGCTTGGAGGGAGACTGCAAGAAGAGGACAGGCCGCAGCAAGGAAAGAAGAGGTTAGCCTGCAGCTTACAGGGGACGTTTTCTGTGACCTTTCATGCTAAGTGAGGGGGAGTCGATTGGCCCTGTGGGTGAGAACTTGAGGCTTGATTCACAAAGGTACTTAGGTGCCTAACTGACTCTTTAGGTGCCTAAGTCTAACATTTAGGCACCACTGACATTTTCAAAATGAATTCTCAGGTACAGCCTAAATCTGAAGGTTCCTGCCAGTAGACATGTGCAAAGTCCTGCTGTCACCCCACAGCTAATGAGCTGCTGGGATCCCTAGCACAAGCTGCATTCCATTAGGAGTCTCAAGCTAGGGGTTCTTTTGCCTGCCTTGCCTGTGGGGATCAATCCATTAGGTGTCCTCTGACCACCTAATGCAAGTCTGAGAATTCCACTGGGTGGCAGAGTGCCTTGGAGTCAGGTGTTACAATGCTTAAAGTCCCTTTGTGAATATAGGGATCCTTGTCCTTAATTAAATGAACAATGGGGACAGCAGGCAAATCAGGGGAAATACAAGCTTCAGAAGCCTGTCCCTAGTCTCTGTTTGTCAGAGGCAGGAAATGGGCGACAGGGGATGGCTCACTTGATGATTACCTGTTCTGTACATTCTCTCTGAAGCACCTGGCATTGGCCACTGCTGGAAAATAGAATAGTGGGCTAGATGGACCTTTGGTCTGACCCAGTGTGACCATTCTTATGTTCTTATGTCCACTAAAACACTAAAAGGAATTGGGTTTCACAGTGACTAGGGCAGAAGAAAGTAATTGTCCTGGTTTAACATCTCAGAGGTCATTGCTTGGGACAAAAACCCAAGAACATTCCAATCACTGGCAAACAGAAAGCCAAGCAGGGGACTGAAGTGAGAGATCACCTCTGGAAAAATGTGGGACCTTAGAGGTCCAGACAAGGACTTTTAATGTATTCAGAATAATATCATTGTCCACAAGGGTCAGAGTGGGATTTTCAAAAGCTCTCAGCTGTCTTCACCCATTGAAAAGAGAGTTTTACCACTGCCTCCAATAGAAGCAGAGTCAAGTGAACACTGAACATTTCTGAAAATCTCACCCTCGATACCTCATTGGGGCCAAACTGAGTGAGCGAAGGGTTTTGGTTTGTTGTTTGTTAGTATTTCTGCTAACCGTGTATCAGTGTTGGCCAAGGGACAAGCTAGCTAATTGTTGAATGAAGACAAATGAGTATTCATGTAAAATTTGAAGTCCATCTCATTGTTTCTGAGTCAGAGGAGATGGAAAACTACCCCCATTTCAACATCTCAGACAAAATGTTTTTGAGTTTCCCTCAAGCTTAACTGTGATTTGTTGCCACTCTATGCACCTTCCCAGATAGTTAAATCTCCTTCATAGTTCAAGGCTCTGTTGGAATAAAATAGCCAATAATTAAATACATTTACAAACAATATTTGTGGATAGTTTGGGATCCAATCCTGATCCTACTAACTTCTACTAAGGGAGTTATGGGCTCAATCCTGCTCCTACTGATGTCAATGAGAGATTTGGGGTACATTTTTTAGAAGTGCCCAAGGGGTTGTTTACACTGCCTGGCTGGTGGCTGCCTTGTTGGTGGCTCCCACCCTGCGCCGGGCTCAGCTGCTAGTCCCGGCTGGACTGGGGAGGATGGGACTTCCTCTTCCCCTGCATGGCATCTGGGGCCAGGTCAGACCCACCTCCAGATTTTCCCCCCCCAGTTGCAGGAAGCTCTGCAAACTTTCCCCCAATGCCCCGCTTCCTGCACCTGTCGCTCCTCAACTGCAGGGGGAGAGATCTATGTGCGGGGAGCTGGTCCCCCATCCACCCACCCCTGTCCATCCTGACCCCCTCATACCCAGACCCTCCCACCAAGTCTCAGCCCCCTCACACACTCCCAATGAGAACCCCCCAATGAGCCCCTCTCCCCCTGCAGCTGGACCACCCCGACAAGCCACCTGGATCCCCACCCCACCAGCCCCAACCAAATCCACTTGGATCCCCACCCAACTGAGCCCCACTCCCCCAGTATCTGGACCCCCCACTGAGCCCCTCACACCTAGACACCACCGCACTGAGCTCTATCCCCCCCACATCCAGACTCCCTCCTGCTGAGTCCCAACCACCTTCACCTGGACCCCCCTGCAGAGTTCCATTACCATTGCACCCAGAACCCCCCCAACAAGCCCCTGTGCCTCCAGATCTCCCCTGCACCCAGATTGCCCCACACAGAACCCTCTCAACCCACACCTGGATCCCCCCACGCTAAGCCCCTCCACACCTGGATCCTGCCTTGCTGAGCCTGCCTGCCCACACCCGCTGCACCTAGCATGGAGGGGCAGGCCCCTGGGGTGTTTCTGGGGGAGACCCGGTCCTTGCGCTGTGTCCGGGTTGAGTGCAGCCTCACTGCTGAGTCTGTGTCCCGGGGTGGGAGCTGCACAGTGATCTCCCCGCTCTGTGTAGCCAGTGGCCTGTGCTCCCCACTGCCATGCTGGAGCCTCCACATTTATTTGACAAATAAGATTTGAAGAATTTTGCAGAATTTTAAAATATTGGGCGCAGAATGCCCTCAGGAGTAAAGAGCTAATCTGGCCGCTAGGGATAAACCAGATACAGTAGTGTCCCACATCCCCAACACCAGTGGAACCAGGAAGGGGTAACATAGGGGCCAGAATGCCACCAGAGAAAATATATTGACATAGGTGGGAGTATCACTGGCTATTTAAGTCTGTTTTAAGTACACTTTGACACATCGACTCAGCCCAAAAACAACTCAGCAGGCTGGAGAACCTGAGCCTTCAAGGTTAGCTTCAGCAGTGCTGTGGTGCTTTACTTTTTGCTGCAACCAAGGATGCAAATTTGCCCTCTTCCTCCTTTCCCAGGTGAATTCCACTGGGTCAGCAGTCAGAACAGAGGTTACAGCTAACAGAACAGCAGCTAAAACAGAGCAACAATATTTCAGGCCGCAGGTCCCCAGACAACAGCAGCTGCAGATGAGATTAGTTAAATGCAGGTCACTTAACAGGTGTGGTTTTATAACTCTAACATTTACAGGGATACTGCTAACATTGCTAGACCCACCATTGCTACAAGCACTGGAAAAGTTATAAGGTTAAAAGAGGGGGGCGGGGAGGAGAGTACACGTTGATCTCCCTCCAATTAAAATAATTTTTTAAAGTCAGTTTGAGAGGAAACACTGCTTTGGTGCCCCAGATTTAAATGAGGCTCCAGGTGCACAGTCCCTCACAGAGAAAGGGCACAATGATTACTGTAAGATTCAGGGGGCCTGATTCTCCTCTCCACCATCCAAGTGTGAGTCAGGAATATCTCCAGAGCAGTCTGTGGAGTCCCATAGCTGGAGAGCTGGTATGTGAGGAGAAGGAAGCTCACAAACATAAAGTCACAGGCAACTGTTTATTTTTTTTTTGGAGGGGGTGGGGTTTGAAATATTTCACTACATCAAGTATTGGTCAATAGGGACCTGATGCTGCTCCTCTGCACAGCAAGGAAAAACCCCTCTGCCATGTACATTGGTCAAACTGGACAATCTCTACGTAAAAGAGTAAATGGACACAAATCAGATGTCAAGAATTATAACATTCATAAACCAGTCGGAGAACACTTCAATCTCTCTGGTCACGCGATTACTGACATGAAAGTTGCGATATTACAACAAAAAAACTTCAAATCCAGACTCCAGCGAGAGACTGCTGAATTGGAATTCATTTGCAAATTGGATTCAATTAACTTAGGCTTGAATAGAGACTGGGAGTGGCTAAGTCATTATGCAAGGTAACCTATTTCCTCTTGTTTTTTCCTACCCCCCCCACCCCCTCAGATGTTCTTGTTAAACCCTGGATTTGTGCTGGAAATGGCCCACCTTGATTATCATACACATTGTAAGGAGAGTGGTCACTTTAGATAAGCTATTACCAACAGGAGAGTGGGTTTGTGTGTGTGGGGGGGGGGGGAGAAAACCTGGATTTGTGCTGGAAATGGCCCAACTTGATTATCATACACATTGTAAGGAGAGTGATCACTTTAGGTAAGCTATTACCAGCAGGAGAGTGGGGTGGGGGGAGGTATTTTTTCATGCTTTGTGTGTATAAAAAGATCTTCTACACTTTCCACAGTATGCATCCGATGAAGTGAGCTGTAGCTCACGAAAGCTTATGCTCAAATAAATTGGTTAGTCTCTAAGGTGCCACAAGTACTCCTTTTCTTTTTGCAAATACAGACTAACACGGCTGTTACTCTGAAGCTCGAGCCCAGACATCTACACAGCAGTGAAACAGCCCCCCAGCCCGAGCCTGAGTCGGCTGGCACAGACCAGCCATAGGTGTCTAGCTGCTGTGTAGACATACAGTATCCTCAGAGGCCCATGATGTCACTGGAAGTTGAAAAAAACAGTTCCAATGCAGAAGGCATTCAGCACCTGAGCATTGTTAAAGAGCTGTGACATCATTGTTCACGTGTAATGGTACCTTACTCCACAGAGCAGTCCCTCACTGACAAAGAAAACAAGGCAGAGCACTAAACATCTGAGTGGTGATTTTACAATTCCAGTCACTAAAACCTCAGCTCTTTTCTGTTCTCCAGTGACTTTTCTGAGGCTAACTGTGCTCACCCTTGATTGAAAGCAATTCACAGAACATGCAGCTGTGTGCTAAGTTAGGAACCTTTATCACAGATCAGTGATTTAACATAGGGGATTTTTTTGGCTTTTTCTCTAAGTTCACTAGCTGTAAACCATCTGCTCCTTACCAGATAAAGAATGGATTTCCCCCTCTTCTTCATAACGTACTGTAGTTTGCATTACCATTCAGTAAATCTATTTGTGACATGCTATGTGCTTCTCACTGTTCAGCGTCCCTACTTTGTGTGGCTTCCCCTGCTAAGTATGACAGGTTTCAGACAGTAACAGTCTGTATTCGCAAAAAGAAAAGGAGTACTTGTGGCACCTTAGAGACTAACCAATTTATTTGAGCAAGTGAGCTGTAGCTCACGAAAGCTCATGCTCAAATAAATTGGTTAGTCTCTAAGGTGCCACAAGTACTCCTTTTTTTTCCTGCTAAGTATATCACTGAGTATCCAAACAGCAGACTTTATGCAGCTCACAACAAGACACTTAATACCAGTTTCCTAACTGCAGATCTCTGGTGCCCAGCCTGCATAAGGAATCAACCCAGTTCTGCACTCCTCAACACAAGGGTTTGTACATCACACACTAAGGAAAAGTGATTTATTTATTTCTCTGCAGCATTTGTTTGCTAAAGAAAGTGGTGTTTTTTAAGACCGCCAGGGATTTCTGACATGTCACAAAAGCTCAAACTTCTCATTACTTGTGTCAAGGACTAGTTTTAGGAAATCAAAAAGAAGTAGAGAAGAGGGCTGAAAATTGTGCAGCATATGGAAAGTTCCCAAAATGAAGAATACTCCAAATCAGAGCCCGGAAAGACAAATATTCACTATTTCGTCTTAACCTGGAATAACTATTACAATATTGCCCCCTTCTGGCATCATTTATTTTCTTCGGTTTAAATGAAGATAAGAACTGTATGTTCAGAACCTGTTCCTTGTGAAGCCAGTGGGAGTTAGATTGGACCCTTAACTCCTTAAATATTAAGGGGCAGATTCTCTGTTCCCCTACACCTGGTGGAGTTATTTACACTAATGCAAAGCGGGTGCAAAATGCTACCAAATCAGAACTGTATATATGTAAATGACTCTAGAAGGTGCCGGAAAGTGGACAGTCAGGCCCTCATGTGTTGTCACTGAAATGTTACATTTATTGGTTTGGCTACAGGAAATAAACTTTCCTATGAGTAGATTTGTCAATAGTTTAACTTTCCAAGTCTTATTCTTTACTCCCTCTGAGTCTGACAATAGGATTGGTCCTGCTTTGAGCAGGGGGTTGGACTAGATGACCTCCTGAGGTCCCTTCCAACCCTGATATTCTAAGTGACCAGCACTCAGCATCAGCACAACGCTGGTCCCTTAGAAGCCAATGTTCAAACTCGCACTGATTTCACCGGGGCCATGTTTACACTATGGCTCCTACAGCTACAGCGGCAGCTCTGGTGCTGTAGCGCCATAATGTAGACACTTCCTATATTGATGGAAGGGGTTTTTCCTTCAGTGTAGGTAATCCACCTCCCCAAGCAGCAGTAGCTAGGTCAATGGAAGAATTCTTCCATCAGTCAAACGACATCTAGACCAGGTGTTAGGTCGCCTTCACTCTGGCACTCAGGGGAATGAATTTTTCATACCTGGGCAATGTGAATAGGTTTACCTAAATTTGAAGTGTAACCAGGCCTGAGAGTGACGTTAGACAAGCCCCAAGCGCTTTTGCAATTCCCACCCCTAGAGTGTAATGACTGCAGAATTACATTCACCCTTTCATGTCATATTTAGAGATATTGTTGCAAGTCTGGCATTCAAAAAATCCACATCAGCTCCGAGTTAAAAGGATTGGTTCCAAGTAGTTCCATATCTGGAGTTGTACTCATTTATGTAGCCATCTGACAGAAGTATTACCTTCTCATCAGGTGTAGGGGAGAACATTTTCTCTTCTAGTGGATGCCTTGAGAAGTCATAGGGATAGGTAACAACTAATTCACCTCCATGGAGACTGGCAGACAATACAAATGGGATAGCCCTCATCCACTTCATAACTGCTTTTGTCTCCGGTGCTACCTGAAGAGTAGAAAGAAAAATCACTTGAATTAACATTCTGTTTAGAATGGATTCACTTAAAATAATTTGGGGCCAGCATGACCCTTCTCATAGAAACACCTGCAGATAGGAGTGTGGTGGGGAAGAAAACTGTGTGTGATTCCCCAGATGTCCCATTAGGGGACGGGGTGGTGGTTGTTTGTCCCATGTAACAAGCATGGAGTTTGGACCCCAAAATCCAGGACCAGAAAAATTGTTATAACAAAATGGAAAGTCAGACTCACAATTCCTAGCCACCCAGACCCCAGAGGCAATTGCCATTTTTGGAAAAAGCATCACAACATGGAGAAAAGACTGCTATGGCCTATATTTTTGTTCTGTGTTTATACAGTAACTAGCACAAGGGAGGACTGGGGTTCCTAGGCGCTATACTAATACAAATAAATAATAATAAGATGTGATTTGAACTAAAATTCAGATTGAAACAAGATTAAGAGCCATAATAGTGGTCACATTTTAATGAAAATGTAACATGTTGCTTTCAAAATTTTCCCTGGACAAGCTGGAACTCAACTGCAAAATCCTAGTGTTCACCACTTGTTGAAAGACAAAGTAGAAAACAACTTTACATTGACTCTTGTAAGATAATTAAGGATGTGATTTAGTCACTGAAGTCACAGATTCCATGACTTTTCCGGACATCTGTTACTTCTTTGGTTTTATCTGTCAGTGGCTGTCGCCAGGACTGGAGCCGGGGCAGGAACCGGGGCTGTGCGCCCCTGCCCTTCGGCTTCAGCAGAGGCTGGTTCTGTTGGCCCATGCCCTGTGGCTTGGGCTGGTGCTGTATCTCCCCTTCCCCCATGGCAGTGAGGCTTGGGCTGTCAGTCCCCGCTCCCTGGGGCTCCAGCTGTAATTCCTTCCCTGCCAGCCCTCCGTCCTGGTTATTTTTAGGAAAAGTCACAGACAGGTCACGGATTCCTGTGAATTTTTGTTTATTGCCCGTGACTTGTCCGTGACTTTTCCTAAAAATAACCGTGACAAAATCTTAACCTTAAAGATCCTCTGATCTGTACATCTGACAATAGACGGAGAAGCGTCTCCATATCCATGTTATGCACTGGTATAGCCAGGCGTTGCTTGCAAAAGAGTTCAGTGTGTTGAATCTAAGCCATAGGATTCTTCATGTTGCCATTTCATGCTATGAAGTAAACAGTTTCTCTTGAGGGACTTATCTGGCCTCAGTAGTTACTGAGGAATAATTTCATTCAGGGCTGCATTATAATTAGCTACTCCTTAAATGCAACAGTGACACCTGGTGGCCAGTTAGGGTAAGCCTCGAAATACAGCTGTCAGAGAGTTGTTAGTTTTAGGGAGGGATTCTCCTTCCATTTGCACCCTTGTGGGGTCATTGACAGCTGTGCAATGTTAGTGCAAAGTGGCTGTAAAATGCTACCAAATGAGAACAGCAGTGTGTTTGCACAAATGTCAAAGACTACACGAGGTGTAAAGCAAAGGAGGGTCAGGCTCTTACTTTGGGCCCAGCCGTGCATGGATCTATGCAGGGCTGCTAAAGCCCTCTGTCACCTCATGCTTAAATACCATCAGCTATCAGAAAATAGTGAAGGTTAGAGGATGACCATCTCTTGGTCAGCTGGTCACTTGCATGAGTGACTTCCCGAGTGCCCCCCTGTAAATATTGCAGGAAATGCGTTGGCAGTTCAGTAAAAGCAAGTGGCATTCTTATCCAGGTGGCGTAGACACCACTGTGGAATACTGTTACTCCACTTAATGTGTAGTAAGTGCTGGGTAACTGAGGAAGGCAGCTGAAGCAGCATTAGGCTTTATATCCATTGTAGACTAGCCATTGGTATGGGTGCTTATAACATATTTGTTTAGCAGGGCTGCCATTTCATTTACAAGAGGGCAGTATGCATACACACACTAACCAGTGCAGAACAACCTGAAAACACCTTTTCTGGTGATAAAGCCAGGGCAACCGTTTCACAGGATCCATATGAATGGTCCTTTATATTGATGCCAGTTTTTGATTAGGGCTCTTCCGCAGAGCATGTAGCCATTGGCAGAAAGTGGGGCTTCATTTATTTTGTGTCAGTAGTTTGCCAGGTTGCACTTGCGGTATGTAAATGGATGGAGCAGGATGCCAGGCTCAGATGAAAATACTGGATGAATTGTCATCAGTTAGATCCCTCCAACATCTGGCTGTCAGCTGGCTTGAAAACACTAAGAAAAGTCACTAAAGCCAAAATCGAAAAAGATATTTAGGGGTTGGGATGCTCAGTGTTGCAACACCTAAGTGATTTAGTAGCTGTTTTCAAGAGTGATTTAAGCACCTTGGTGCCTAAATCCCATCAACTTCCAATGGGATTTTGGTTCCTAACAGCATAAATCCCGTTTGAAAATGAAATTTAAGCTCCTAAATCTGCACTGCAATGCTGAGTGCCGCAACACCTGAATACCTTTAAAAATCTGGGTCTAAGGGTAACAAAAGCTACAGTGCTGGCTCTAGGCAGCTGCAGTGAGAAGTCTGTCTGAATGCTCACATTGTAGTGCACATGTATCAAAACAGTCAGGGTGTATTTTTTGTAAGGCACGGTGTAAAAATTTATTAGTGAAGATTTTATAGGCCCTGGACACTGTGGGACAGGTGGCTATGTGGTAAGAATTGGGGGAGGGATATTGGTGGTCAGAATAACAACACTCCAAGAATCACACATTATTTTTACTTCATTGTTGTTAGCATTTAGCTGGTAGAAGTATTTGTGGGGCTGGCAATTAAGTAAAAAACTAAAAGAAAAAAATTAAGTTGGTTCCTGTCTGATCTATGGTTTGGAAATGGGTGTTACAGTGATGGAAGAAAAGAAGATACAGCTAATAGAAAGGAGAATGGCAGGCGAGTATAGGACAGACAGAGTGCTCATGGAAGATATAAAGGGGAAGATGAACTTGGAACTCTTAATGATAGAGAGGCTGGAGAGCACACTTTTGAGGTTGGATGGACATGTGATCAGAATGACCAGCAAAGAAAGCCTGGGAGGAAGAGGACAGCAAGAAAGGGCGTGGAAGACTGATGATATGATGGGAAGACACTGTCAAGAGAAGTTTGAAGAGAAAAGGACTGGAACTCCAAGACCTATGAATCTGTGTTAAGGACCAGAAGGAGTAGTGAAGAATTGTGGGCACCTCCAACCCTGTGTAAACAGGAAAAGGAGTAGGGAAGTGAAGTATTGTTAGCATTTAGGAACATGAGTTACAGGACCTGGCATGGCAAATTCTTCTGTGGTTTATCATCATTTGAGATAACTGAAGTTCTACATCCTGGTTATTAGCTATGCTCCAGTTTCCAATACACAAAAAGCCATTAGTACCTTTGCATACATTTGCATGCCAGTATCACTAAAAACTATAGTATTACAGGTGAGCCCAGAGAGAAAGACATGCTAGGAGTGGGAGACAGGATGGAAAATATCATCCCCTTCCTTCCCCCACAATTGACTCAGGGTTTTAAAGTGAACCCAATGCTACTGATTCCCATGAAAAAGGAAGCAAAGAGGTCCTTTATCAGGAAGTTATCATTATAATAATTCATTTGTAGCATTGCTGTAGCACAAAGGATCCCCAGTAATGGACTAAGATAAAATTGTGTTAGGCAAAAAGATGATCCCTGCCCCAAAGAATTTACAATAAGACAAGAGATAACAGGTGGAGACAGTCAGACTGGGGAATACAAAGGAACAATGAGACAATATTTGTCAGCATGTCAGGCACACTGGCTGCCTAACCATTGTCAAGTTTGTTAATACGGCAATTCCCCCATATGTTCAAGAGCATGAGAGTATTTTACTTACGGCTCAGAAGAAGGGAGACCATTTGAAAAGCCCTGGGGAGTTGAGCCCCATGGGTAAAGGACACTAGAGAAGTCTTTCAGGCACACACAGGTACACACATACCAAAGGTGGGGGAGAGAAAATTGCCTCAGGAAGTTTTGTGAGAATGAACTCGGGGAGTCTCAGAGGAAGGCTCCCTTATGGGTTTGCAGTGAGAGTGGGCTTTCCACAGGGAATCTGAGACCTGACTCCATGGATGCCATGGAATTAGTAAGAAAAATCAGACCCTTCTGGGCTGATTCCTGGGCCTCCTTCCCAAGCCTTGGCTCCCTTTAACTCCATCCCTTCTCAGAAGCAGAAACTGCAGACAATTTAATACAGCCTGGAGAAGCACTGATGCTGTCATGGGTTTCCTCTTGGGATCAGCTGGATGGCCAATGGACCATGCTGTGGCAATTCCTATGCTTCTCCGTTCTGTCAGTGCCCACACAAGAGCTCTGCTGAAGGCTGTTGAGTAACAGGGAAGCCTGCTGCAGAGGGGGCTCAATTCCTCTTCTCTGGTTTCAGCACACAAAACTGTCTGCTCCTTTGCTCCTCTCTGCAGCAGTGAATAGGCACCAACACAGACCCTGTCCTATTCCTGAGGAAATAGGTACTCTCAGATTTCAGTAAAAGTCTTTTATTTAACTGTTAATCAATATTTTCTGGGACAAGCCCAGAATGTCCTATTCAGAGAACTTCCAAACTCAATCTCTTTCCATGTCTCTCTCTCTCGCCTACTTCCTTGTTAGATACCTACATACTCCGCAAGACAGTGAGCCTGTTTGTGATGCTGGCAGACCAGATGCCAGCCCATGCCACGGTCCCCATGTCTTAACCGAATATGAACAAATACCTAGCTGGAATCAGTCTGGCTCACCTCTGTGTTAATATTATTAAAATAGGTATTAAAATTACAAGATTGTGTTTAGTATTAAGACTTTCTTGATTGCTGGTGTGTTGCTGTGTGCATTAATCTCACTTACAGCACCTGTATCCTATATTGTAAGGTAATATTTAAGCATTTGGAATGTAAACTTCTGTGACATTCTAAATCACTAGACAGGAGAGAGACATTAACTAGTGTGAAGTGCTGACCTCCAAAGCTGTTACATCCTGGTCAACAAGGAAGGCCCA